AACTGCCAAAAGAGCGAGCGGTGCAGGGCGGATTTCTGACATTAGCCTGATTAGGTGGCGTTGACATGTTTGGGTGAAACCGTGCGAGTGAGAATAAGAACGCGGCTTAATTCTTAGAGTGACTAGCAGCAAACCTTTTATATACAAATATTGTGGAGCAGCCATGTGTCCGCATAAAGAAGGTAGCAGGGGAGTGACATGGTGTTGAAACAACGAAAAAGCAAAGTAAACATAGAGTAATGCGTGAAGAAACAGGGCCTGATAGTCTAACACAATATCTAGGTTAGGGGCTCTTGCTAACTTTTTTTTGCTTGGGGGCTATATAGGAACTCTTAAGGTAAAAATAAATTAATATAAATCAAAATACTATGACGACATCATAGTGCAATACTTGGAATAAATAGGTTGTGTTGACGGATACCGCTTGGAAGGATGGCCTTGGATAGCATATTTAACCAAGGATAATAGTCCTAAACTCGCGTTCACACTTTATCCATTGCGAAAATAATACCTTACCAAGACCTAATCGCTTGGCGATACCTTTGTCCCATTCCAGAATCATGACATTTACTGTAAGTACTTCGTATAGGTCATCGCCTGACGAAGTTTTCTTTATTTTACGGAACTCGTCACTGCCCTAAAGTTAACTAATCTGTGTTGTTTGAGGAGTTTCGATATTTTAAGCTTACTTGGAGGTCTTGAAGTAATTAGAGTTTTTCTCAAATATCGGTTCAAAGACGTAGCAGATAGATAGGGCAATAAAATCAAATGTCTGCCCCTTGGATTTTTCGGTAAGATAATAGTAAGGGATCCTACCGAAGCCAATAGCATCATTGTTTTTGCTGAGTATTGCAAATACGTCGGTGCTGTGAAATGAGTGGATATCCCGGGCAAAGATCCTGAACTTGGACAAGGCAGTCCGAACTGCAAGACGACGTTTATCTTCATGAAGACGCCTAAAAAGCTCTTCGTTGCTGCTAATGAGATTTATAAGCCATTTTTCATACTCTTTCGAATACACCTCTTCCCAGAAACTTTGGTACGTAGGCCACCGTTGCTTAGCGAATTCATTGTAGCTTTCTTTTGAAATCCCGGATACCATATGTGATAGTTCCGAGGACGAGAGGCTTTCGAAGCAACCGAATGATATTGCATGAATCAGGTAAGCAGGGACTTCAGAGTTTCTGTCCCATCTTTCCAGTGTACTCCCAGAAGCTCGTATAAGCGTCAGAACGGATTGGTTTTCTTGGAAGCCCCAGAAACTCCAGGTGGTAAGTGAAGCGCAAAAATCCGCGAACTGGATGTCCAGTGATTCCTTTGAAGCCCAAGTCCATGAAGGAAGCTGGTACGTGCCGTCAAATTCTCGATCTTTTGTTATTGGCTCTGTGTACCAGAGAATTGCGGTGTCAAAATCTGGTTTAGGCAATCCCATAAAAGTGTTCTGTACTCCTGAGTACAGCTTGCCTAGTACTCCTGAAAACGCATTTAGGATATCGTTCTGGTTCGTGAGTTCGCGCCGGAGGTACTCTGATACGCAGTTTCTATAGGCTCGCCAAATATTGCTCGTATCCTTATACGATTCAAGAGTTGCGAGGACCTCTTCGTCAAGTTTTTCAGTAATTGCTTCAAATTTGATTGACGTAGAACAACAAAAGATGACCTGGAAATCCGTAAATAGTAGCGCCCGGCGGGATAGAACGAACTCCTGATACGTCCAGCCTCGTAAAAACCAGGCGGCATCCCGTATCTCACCATGGAACTGATTTCTAGGCGTGTAATATTCGCGCCCACCTATAATCTCGATAGATTGAGTAGGTCTAGTGCGTCCGTCTACACCAACAAGGCCGTAGTCGGATCCGTGGTCGGTTGCAGCGCAGATAACAAGGTATGCTCTGGAATATATGGTATCCATGTTGTTTATCTGGTTGGGTTTGCTTTCGTCATCGTCTTGTATGATGCATAGGCGATCGACCCAAAGATATGGAATATCAAGATTTTTACAGACAGTCAAAGCATCCTCAATTGTAGCCGGGATATTGCTTTTGCTTAGGCTGCCGGTAGCCTCGAGCTCTTCGCGACGACTCTGTATATTTGTAATATCATGTGCTTTGACTGGCCCCCATCTATAGCTAAGAGCGGCGTATCTGCAATGTTCTTTCGCTGGCTTGATGCATCTCTCTTTTACATCAATCAGTCGGAAATCAGAAAACTGTCTCGCCTCAGTTTTCTCGTCCTCATGCTGATGCTGGTCAACACAATGGTTCAACCATCTCGTAAGCCTAGGCCATTGCACCGTCGGCAAAAGTGGTAGCCAGTCAAATTCTATTCCGCTGTACGACAGGGAGTTCTCGTGTTCGGGATGATATGCATTGATTTTTGCCAGCATCCAGTTACCGTCCAGACTGAGACGGATTACGAATTTGTTACTTTTAACGTCGTAATAAAGTCTAACGGGCTGATATCTATTAGAGGGTAATTTACGCTCCTCGAGGAAATCGCAATACTGGAGAGAATTTGTAATGGCTCGGCAGAAAGAACAATTAATCGTGGCCTTTATATTAACCAGTTTTCGTGTGGTTACGAAATGCGTGCTTTGATTCTCTGTTGAACAGCCACAGATATGGCTGAGACGAAGATGCTGACAGTAGCGGCAAAGATTTGGGTCTGCGTCATAACCGTCATCTATGCATCTGTGGCACTGAACCAAGTACATCCTTTCGAACTCTGTTGGAGAGAAAGGTTTTTCCAGTTGATCGCGAAAGCGTCCATGGAATGCTTTGGGCCAATATGGACAATCTGGATTGCGGCATGGTCCAGGAAGATGAGCTTGTTTGTTTGTGCGGATGGAATTAAATCGAGCGACCGTCTTGGACCCAACCCTATTATGCGGTCCTGTTCTGACTTGGCGCCCCATGTTCTTCGTGGGTCTTAGCCGTTGTTATTGCCTCAAGTAGGAGCTGGTTTTAGAGGCTAGGCGCTGCAGTCTACCCGAGTAGTTACGGGGTTTTCAGTCTCATAAAGGTTCCAGTGGCTCTTCAAAATTGAAAATTGTAAGAATGGAGTTGTCGACTACCCAGCCAGCGGAATTGAAGACGGCTTATAATAATCGGACTAAACGTTGAACCTACACATCAAATGCGCAGGCTCAAGCGAGTTCCATACCCTCATAGACAGGTATGTGGAAAGGCTGTTAGAGGTTGGTAGGTACGGATTCACTTAAGTGCTGATTGTCCGTGGCGAAAAACGAAGTGAGAACTTAACCCTCCGATTGTACGCGAGAAGGGTACTTTATATACACAGATCCATCCGGTATTAAGGCCAAAGTGGGGTTGAAAGCCGTTCTCCACCCCTAGTTACGCGCTGCCCACGTCTGCAGGTATGGCGTGACGCTTAGCCGAGGCTATATCGCGTGCGCCCACCGGTTAGTATTGCTGCCCCCCACTCGCTACACCCCCCCAATTGGGCGTCATTTC